CCAACAGTTCCCGTTGGAGAATCTCACGGGGATATGTGGTTGCAGAAACCACGGAATGGCATGTATATCTTTGGCATGTCGTCATCAAGCCAATGCCTCCAAGTAAGTACTTGCACGTGGCAAACGGTGTACACGTCAGGTTCAAGATACTCCCCACAGACGTTCCGCATCGGTCTGAAAGTTCATCCCGCCATGCTGTAATCTGTGGTCCCGCAATATGTGTATTGATCACATGACTCTGCAAGTGGGTCGTGTGAGGCAACATGGTCCGGCAGCCAGAAACAGGCTTGGATCCCAGAATCACTGTTCCTGTCCTGTGCAGCGCACGGCGTGCTTAAGGCCACGTCTCGTTCTGGCCAAGAGTGATTGCTGCCCATACAGCCACACTGGCCGAGGATCAGCCGCTAGCGAAACTGGCACGAGTGAGACCAGCAGAACACTTTGAACGATCGAAACGACCTTGAAAGTGCAGACAGGCTTGAACGTACTCAGAATTGGGCTTCAATCTCTTCAGGCTTTGAAGCGTGACAGCATTTGCTGATTCTACGAACGTGGGCCCAGTTACTACAAACAGCAAAGCCTTTGGCAAGGTCTGGGCACCAAGTCAACGACAGAGCGTAGTAGGACGAGACGTCGCCTCGACTTTTTGTTTCGCCCTTCTGTACTGTCCTTGTTCGAGCTTGCATGCCTTTTTCTTGCAAAGCCTATCGCGATCTCATTTGAAGTCTGGTCATGCAGATACAGGTCAAGCCAGAGCGGCAATGTCGACGAGAGGGCCGGCCTCACTTCCTCAGACAAGTGTCTTGTCAAATCAGGCATATCTGGTCAACATACATATTCTGTGAGCAACCTTACGGTTACGTCCCTATCCTTCAGCGTCTTCATGCAGCAGCCGCATTCTTCCACGAGCGGTGCGTCTTACAGGCCGATTTTCTTCCATCAGCATCAACAGTCGCAGTTTCCTGTTCGGCGCGATTGTCCTGATAGCTGCATGGGCTACTTTCGACACTTGCCTTCATTCAGGCACGGGACGTGGGAGTTGCGAGACGAGCTGTGCTTGACAGCATCATTTCAAGGACCAGCTTCTTACGACACCAAATGGTGACACCTTCCGCGAGACCTGAGTGGTATTTTAGCCGAGTTGGACGCCTCCAGCTTCATGTGATGCTGTATTGGGGGACCTTATGTATCAGCTAGCTGGATTGCTTGACCGCGAAACCAGATGCAGGGCTTCCAGCTCGGAGATGCAAAGCACGTGCTAAGCACGGGCATCCCGGCATCCCGCCTGTTAATGCACGTGATACTCATGCCGTCAAGGCCCTTCGTTTTTTTCCCAGCGCCCGTTTTAAAGCAAGGACATGTACATAGACTTAGCATCAAAGGTCGCGTCCTTAAAGAGAATCTCAAGGCTTGGGCGCCGGAACGACATGCGCAGGGTTCTTCCGGGTGGACGGCCAAGGCTGAGAACCCCTCGCGACCAGCGACGCGAAGCCGGGGAGATCAACAAGTCGCAGCCTCAGTTCGAGGCTCTACAGGGACTCTCCGTACTTCGATTGGGCGACAGACTTCCACACAGGCTTTGGTACAGACGCTAGGTCGAAGTCGTAGAGTGGAAAGAAAGTTCAGAAAGGTCCAGGCTGTGCGCAGCCTGCAGATGGCTACTCTCAGCAGTTTTGGCACTGCACAAGGTCTGTCTGACTAAATGCATGGGATTTTAATTCGTTCCTGCTGTGGCGTCTACGAGTCACAAGTAGGATGTTGACTTGACACGCGATCACACTTACGAAACGGGCATGCTCGCAGATCGATCAGGTCGCTTTCACAGCTGGCATTGGTCATCCAACGCTTGACGAGCCAGAATGGTTCCTCTATGCAGTCGCTTCCTCAGAGCCTACGCTGACTGCATGGTTGTATATCCTGTGCGTTTCTGTACATAATCACAAGCAGTCACAAGCAACCTCTTCCGAGTCGCTCTGAAGTCCAAGCTCCACGGGCGGGCGGAGGGCCCTCCGAGATCCTGCATCATCAGGATCCATGGGCATTGCGCCATAACTGCCACCGTCGGCTCGCCTAAACGACCGCATCAAGCAGTTTCCTGCGCAGGGAGGTACACGCTAGACCTGTCTGCTTGATTTCCAGTCTGTCTATATGCATGTCTATTAATGTTCTATGTATGCATGCGTTGTCCATTATGCGGCTATTCGCCGTGATTGCAATTGTTTGCATGTAGTTCTTAGGTAAGTCTGGGCGTGTGGACGAGTGGTGCAGTGGTATAGAGTGTACATGCTACATGATTCAACAAATTAGAGTGTGTGTGTGTGTGTGTGAGTGTGTGCGCGCATGTGTGATGTATGGTAACGCCCCCTCCCGGTTATCTGCCTCTTTCGCTGTAAATCCTGTGTGTTCTGCCCCGTCGACCGTTTGCAATGGGAATCCCTCTTGCTGTTGTTGCCTAATCCCTTTCCCTGTGAATCCTTTCCCTTTTTCAATTCGCGATGACCCGGCTTGACACTCAAGCCAGTTGCTCAAGCGAGTCAAGCCGTTCCCGCAAACTCTCTCTCAATACCCGTCTAAGTATCTTAATCCGGTTTTGTGATGTCGGTACCCTACCTAAATTTTCTAATCAAACACCTCTGTCAATACTTGCACCACCACTCTAAATGGTCGAATTCCGCTTCTAAACTATCAGCATAACCTTTCCAACCATGTCAAACCTTGTTAGGGGCTTGGGCAAGATTGAATCCCGGACCAAACCGCCCAACTCCAGGTGGTAATGTTGTTGGTGCAAGTTTGTTTCTCTGCCTTCTAAACGATGTTACCGACATGTGAATCCTGAAACTGTATTAAACAGCAGTTTGTTGTAATAAGCTAGAAGAATAGCTTTTCCAATCATGTCAAACCTTGGGGCTTGGACAATTTTGGAAGGATTTAAACCATTGGATAGCTTCAGTACCTGAGAGAGTCTCGAAGTTTTTTAAAAGGACCAGGCCACCTAACTCCCGAAGGTTATATGGTCGGTGCAAGTTTGTTTCACTGCCCACGCGATGTTACCGACATGCGCATCTCGAATTTTGCTGCAGTATCCGTTTGAATGAATACGTCTCCTTATCTACATCCTCGAACTAGCTTCTTCAATTATCTAGATGCGGATCTGCACCGTCTGAACCCCTTTAGCCTACCAAGACAATTGTTCGAAGTGTTTCAATCCGTGTAGTGATGCTGCCTCAGCGATAGTGGAGAGGCAGGGAGCGGGGTCCCCTCGCTGTCCACGATGGGGCAGCACCAGCAGCAGCAGCAGCAGCAGCAGCAGAATGCCTAAATATCGGGGTCACCGCAATTACAATCATTCCATGTAGTGAGCCACAGCCCAGTCCATGCTACAAGTTCTCTCTTATTGAAATTCTTGTCTGGGTTCTGGGTTATGTAGAAGCCTGTGATCTTTCCAACCCTGGCCTGCATTGCGTGCCGAAATTGTTAGTTTTTTACACTGGGAAACCATCCTCTACTTGCTGACTTAGTGATGCTTACGATGCTCTCTAGTCACAACCATGACCCCGAGTATCCGAACAGACACGCTTGTAGGCCCTCCTTGCCAAGGCTGGTGCCATATCGGGACTCCATGCTAACACGCTTGCTAGCCGAGAGCCGTGGTCCTAGCCAGAGATGCGAGTTTGGAGTGCTGGAACTTTGCGAGGGGGCAAGAACACCGACCCATGTTTGGAATGTCAGTTCGCAGAACTGCGAGAGGCAATAGAGACGGATTTGAAGTTGCATTTGCAGAGCTTGCAACACATCGGAAATTTCATATGTTTGTGAGACTAAAACAGCCACCAGAGCCAGAGGTTAGTGCTTTCGCAGGCGTGGCAAGGGTACTACCGACAGATGCAGAAGTTATCCCAACCGGGGCTTTGTGCTGGACTGCCCGCCACTCCAAGGTTTCGGCGGCAGCTCTAAGACCTGCCTCATCATCACCTGTTCGGTACAAGCTTCTGAGCAGCAGTCAATCCCGGCGGTCCAAACCTCTCAAACTTGATGTCCGCTTTGTCTCAGCTACGGTTCCAATGACTTACGCGTTTACAGGAGGTGGCTTGTCCGTTGTCCAGCGTAGCTGAGGCATCCGATCGCGAGGACTGCCCTCTGGCGCTGACATGCGAAGTACTGGTATAACACGGACAAGGGCACTCTGTTGGCAACCCACATGCCGGGCCGTGCTGCTTACCGGCAGGAGACCCGCTGCTCCCTGGAGTTTGGCAAGCGTGCTAAACTAGTCAGGAGCGGCAACTCGATGCGTGACCGCAGAAGCTCCAAAATCAAACTGAACAGGGCGAGGTGCTCGTGATAAGGTGCAGGTGCATAATGTTTCATATTTTCACATTTCGCTGACTCGCACTTTCTCCAGGAACCGCCCGCAGATTAATCTCGAAGTGGCACATGAGCCCTCTGCGGTCGTGGAGGCGAAGGGCCTCCGCCGAGGACACTGGTCAGAGCAAAGGAAGTGTTCGAATGTCTCGCGCAGGCCTTTGTGGCCAAGAAGTTAGAAGAAATGCAGCGGATCCAGGAGGTGCCTGGCTTCGTGTCGGCATTTTCCTCGAAGGTATGTTTCTCCCCCGGATCTGCTAGGAGTTGCTTCGCGAACGTGAGCTTCTCCAAGCAGAACGTTTCTCTCTTGGAGCTGGCAACGTTGTGCCATGTACATGACATCTGCACAGTTCCACAATGTTGTATGTGCATGGGGGGCTCTCTGCCGGGAAGACGGACCTTGACATTGAGCCTCATGACTTGGTGCTGAATCCATGATTGAAGCTGAAGGACGGCAGCCAGATGTATCGTGCTGTTGGTGCTAGAGCATATTATCTCGCAAGCTGAAAAGGCAGTTCCATGCCGTTCCTCACAGTCTGGTTCAGTTAGGAAGCTGTACTTGATCTAGTGGCATGCTGCGTAGCACAGCAGCGATGCCTGCCCTTGCCTGCACATCCACGGCGCCAATCCTTCGCGTTTAGATGTTCATCTCCGTCGGGGTGGCATTGCTGAGCGGCCGAACGGCCCGGATTCTCGCTGAACCTGCGACCTGGCAGCATCTCCTAGAGCGGAGCTGTAAGGCAAAGACCAAGACCGTGCCTTGCCACTGCATTTCTGTTGCAGTTGGCGTAGCAGACCCAATTAAGTTAAGGCAACGCGTAGCAAAACGCAGCAGCCGCATTCTGGTCAAGCTGAGGGCTGTACGATCCATGAGTTCAAGAAGCTGGCTCAGAAGGAGGGCGGGTGGCACCTGCACATGTACAAGCCGCAATTGAAAAAGAGCTACGTAGAATGTTTCCTTGTGCATTGCCGCAAGGAGCTGCGAGCAACAGGCATCACTGCCTTGATCACATCTGCAGGCCTCTTTGCCAGCAAAAGGAGAACAGTGGACAAGGTGGCTTGTTGGCTTGTTATGGTTATTGCGTGGAGTGTAGCAGGTCAGCTGCTGCACGATAGCTGCACGCTCGAAACGGCTGGAGTGGTGAATGGCGACACCTTGAGTGCGACGGTGCAGCAAGCCACGATAGCGCCGGGTCTGCATCTACTCTATTAATCTCAGATAAATCGGCGTACTGAGCACAGCCAAAGAAACTTGCACCATGCTGAGTCAAATTCGCGATGGCTCGTGGTGCCTCGTGTCACTTTGTCTTTGTGAGTTGAAGCCGGCGGGACGTTCACCGCGTCGACGATACTTGATGATGCCTCATCATGTAATTCACGAAAACTTCCAATCCGATGCATGACAGTCACGAAGTGAAATTTGGATATGGCCGTGTTAAGACAACTGTTAAAACAGGTATCAGTCTTTTGTCTGCAAGGCCGAGGCCCAAAGCATCGCAAGCCACTCAGCAGCGCACCACCATGTGCCCTGCAGGCATCCAGCCGGGAGTCCAGCGCGTTCGCGTGCATCTGCGCAGATGGTTCTGTTGTCACCTGGGGCGATCCGGTTTGTGGAGACAGTACATCCGTGCAGAAGCAGCTAAAAGATGTGCGCCATATCCAGGCGTCCACATATGCTTTCGCTGCACTCCGAAGAGAGGGGAAAGTCGTCTCATGGGGCATCGTCTTCAATGGTGGCGACTGCAGTGCCGTACAAGACAAGCTGCAGAATGTGCAGCACTTGGAATCAACTTCATACGCTTTTGCTGCCATCAGAGCAGATGGCAGCGTAGTGTGCTGGGGTCTCCATGAATATGGAGGTGACACCGAAAACGTAGCATCCGAGCTGAAAGAAGTCAGAGAGATCACGGGCTCAGCAACTGCATTTGCAGCCATTCGTGCGGATGGGCAAGTGATCACCTGGGGTGACTTGGCATGTGGAGGTGACAGCAGTGCGGTGAAGGAGCAGCTTCGTCACGTCAAGGAAGTTCGATGCACTGCATTTGCCTTTGCAGCTCTTCGGGTGGATGGCCAAGTCGTGACCTGGGGAGGCGATTGTTGTGGAGGAGATAGCAGCACTGTTCAGCCACGGCTTTCTTCCATCGTTCAGCTGTCTTCGTCGGCCTGCGCTTTTGCCGCCATTCGTGCAGATGGGCAAGTCGTGACATGGGGCGAACCAGAAGGAGGTGGCGACTGCAGTCTCGTGCAGGAGCAACTTCACGATGTCCAGCAAGTCAAGTCAACCCATCGAGCTTTTGCAGCTATTCGTCGAGACGGATCTGTTGTGACCTGGGGCGACCCTAACTGCGGCGGTGACAGTCGTGCTGTCCAAGACCAGCTGCAAGGAGTTCAGCACGTTGAAGGCACGCAAGCTGCGTTTGCTGCCGTCAAAGTCAACGGCCACGTGGTTACTTGGGGCGACTTTGCCTATGGCAGTGACAGCAGCGCCGTGCAGGAACAGCTGTGCGACGTACAGCGGATCTATGCATCTCAGAGTCTGGGCAGCACCATCAGACCAATTGAAACAATATGTCAGTCAATATAGAAGCCCATGCGAACGACGCGTCTTTGCAACCTATAAACCTTGTGCAGCAGGTACTCGACTAGAAATACCAGCAGCTTGTGCATCCTGCAACCGTGTGCCCCACCAAAGGAAGGCCTTTGCTTCGATTCTTCTTAGTGGACAAATTGTTACCTGGGGAGATCCTCGATGCGGTGGGGACAGCAGCCGGGTACAGTCGCAGCTGATTGCAGGATGCCTCGTGAAGGACCGCGAATGCGATACAATCGAGGCTTGCGTTGGTGAAAAGCTGAGCTCTTGCAGAACCAATGTTTTTCTGGCCCAGCCTTGTTTGTAAGAACCACAGTGGATTTTCCAAAGTGTTGCGTGGCTCATTCGCATGGTCCATCATGGTGCTTCAATTTTGAGTTTGCTTAAGCACTAAGGTTCCATGCTTCAGGCGGCCGCAGGGCTTCATGTCCTGTCGCAGCCTTTGGCACACATATGTAGATGTGGAGACGGCCGTGTACTGGTTTGTGTCCGTTCGCATTGCCAGGGCCGTGTCGAGAATCTGGAGGAGAAGCTGGGTGAGGCAGGGCTCCATCTCAGAGTTCAGCAACGCGGCTGGTGAACGTCGGAGTGCCCATATTATACAAGAAGGTTCTGGGCGGCTGACTCCCCGCAACAGTTACACTTCGTAATTTCGTTCAGCTTCCTCAACTTCGCAACTCTAGGTGTAAAAGTCTACCGAAGAGTCCTTGGAGGGTGCAGCAAGATACTCCGAATCTAGTCCAGTGCAGTGTAACCAGATCGGCCAGGCCGTGTGCGATCTCCACGCGCAGCAGAACTCGCGCTTGTCTGAAGTGCCGGCCTTTTGCGAATGGCCCCACATGCTTTTCATCAGGTTGCATCAATGTTCGTAAACATGACGACATGCCTAGCTGAGAAGGTTCATGCAGCGAAGTCGATTTGACTCTGACATACTCTGACCGTTCTTGCTTCGCTGGTGAAGAGGCAACCCAGCTGGAGGAGCAAAAGGCCGAGCTTCAGCCCAGACCTGAGCAGTCGGTGCCGAGTCTCTTCTGGCACGCCGGCCACGGGCCGTCAGGGAGCGGCTGCGAGCTGCACTTGCGGCGGCAGTGGAGGGCCAGGACACGACAGGCATGTGACACGCAGTGAGAAGGGAGACGCTGTTTTTTGCCGGAGGACGAGGCGGCTGCGCAGGCAACGGTCCGTGTCACGCTGGTAAAGTGCCGTCTGGAGTACAGCACTGCCCAGCTGCACTGACTCGAACCATCCCCAGAGAAGAAGCGTTTTTGTGAAATGCATCCCAGGAGCCTCACCCAGAATACTGCAAAGGATGCAGGATCCCTTGAGAAATTGGCCCGTTCTGCAGGTGACCAAGCTCAACTCTGAACGGCAGTCGCTGCAGCGTCAGCTTACGGAGGCAGCGCAGCAGTGTGGCAGAGTAGGAGAGCATCGCGTTGATGCAATTGCACGTAGCTCGGAAAGCCAGCGGTCTGAAGCACGGAGTGATGCTTGCGTCAGATGATTGCTGGCAGAGATCGGCTTCGGCAAGAGCTACACGACGAGGCCGCAAGATATGCCAGGTTTCCTCGAGCCTGCATTGCAACCGCAATTGCAACCCGTTCCATCGGAGCCTCAAGGTCAACCGTCGAGGGGAGAGCGAAGCAAACTTGCAACTTGGCCCTGTACTTTTGAGAATCTTCTGAGACTGACCCAATGCGACCTCATGGTCTTGTTTTGCTTTTCGAGATGCAGGTTTTGTGTGGTGTCGCTGTGAGGTACTCGCAGCTGGCAGCACCAAGCTTAGATATTTCTCAGACGCTCGATGATGCTTCCACTTCATCTTGCAGACTTTGTGCTCGGAAATGAGTGTAAGTGTATGCATCGAACAGGAAGGTGTCCACGTGTCCTGCCAATACTCCCTGGCTCTGCTTGCAAGCGCTTGAACGGAGAGTCGGCGCGGATTCGAGGATGCTGGTTTTGAAGGAGCTAAGGACTGGCACTTCCCCCCTTTTCGGAGGAGCGGAGGGGGGGATGAGAATGAAAGCCTATCGAATCCCTTGTTGCTAGATTTTGTGCGATTCCCGACTGAAACTGCCCCATCCGAAGGGCTTAAGCTCAAAGCCAAAAGGTAGCTTCATCTGTGCCCAGCTTGTCAACCTCCTGCACCGCCCCCGGCCAAGGACCGTCAAAGACACGTGGAGGAAGTCACAAGACAGGCAGCGGTAGCCGATCAGACATGTCTGGCTTGACAGAAGCGGACTGCTAGCTTCAGACAGTCCTAGCCGAGTGTCTGCATGAGAGGCGGCAGAGCTCCGTGTGGCTCTGGCGGATATGGGCCGAGAGAAGGCAAGTTTCAGGGTGATGGCCTTTGTGCGGTGGAGGCTGTTACTCGCACTTAGTTCGCAAGGAGGCATGAACTGCGAACTTCTAGTTGCAGACGGACAGATTCAGCTGCTGAAATGTTCAGGCTGCTGCCCTAGCAGCAATGCACGAGGAGCACCGCGCCTTTCGCAAGATCACGGGGCAACGGCGGGCAACGGATCCTCGTGATTCGCCTCTTAGATCAGGAGCAGTCTGTCATGCGTGCCAAGTGGCTGGAGGCCTGATCTGGGAGCGGATGAGTTCCACGAATCAACACTCTGACTCGTCTCCATATGTGGTTATAATTATGTTGAGTTGACTCGGTGCATGTCAGTGCCTACCAAGAGATGTTGATGCTTGCCACCGCCGTGTGAGCAAATCACACGGGACTGTTAAAGCCGCAGGCCGAGCAGCCTAGCACTTGAGATTGCGACTGCACAGCCTTGACTGCAACAGCAGCTTTGTCACCTTCTGCCTTGGAGGATGTCTCCCGCCTTGAAGCCGAGAAGCTGGCACTGCAAGCGGGATTCGAAGCAGAGAAGGCCACTACTTGTAGCTTCACCGCTGTCCAAACGCCTCGCTGCGCTCCCGGCAAAGGCCGTGCTGCGCGAGCAACTGGAGAAAGACAAACAGGTCTCAAGTCACAAGCAGCCTTGAAGTGCGTCTCAAGGTTAAGCTCTTTCTGTCTTGTTGAGGCAACGATGGTAGCTTCGACGTGCAGCCTCGGTATGTCTAGTGACGTCCAGGAGGCTCGTCCTTTCTGCAAGCCGTCAAGTTTATGGACTCTGACAAGAAGAACCCCAGCTGGCAGTTCCTAACGGTCCTAACGCCTGACGCGGTCTGTGGCCGGAAGGCAGCGATGCGCGAAGAGGCAGCGCATCAGGCGCCTGCGCCGCGGCACATGCCGTGTTTTGGCATGTCTTGGCCGTGTCGTCTCGTCAGGAGAGCTTTGAGTCGGCAGCGCAGTGGGCAAGCAGGAGCAGCGGCAGATAGCACCACAGAGCGGCACCGCCCGCACGGTGCCTCGCCGCCTCGCCTTGAGTTGCCCTGCAAGGAGCGCGGAGCTTCGCCACCAGCTGCAGGCCGCGGCATGACGACAAGACGACTGACCGTCCCTCGCGAGCCATGTCCAGCCTTGAAGCCTCGAAGAGGCAGCCACGGAGGGTGCGGAAGAGCTTGAGAGACTACGTCAGGCTCAGGGCTCAGCGCGCGCTCATCTCTCGCTCAGCTCTCGAACTCTCCGCACATCGATTTATCTTTGGGTTTGTACTACGCGTGCAGCTATGCTGACCCTTTATGAGATCTTATGAGAATCATCGTGGATTGTCAAATTACAGATGTAGGGCCAATTTAGGGAAAGGATTTGTGCCAGGTTCGCTGCAAGCTTTGCCACCAAGATGATACTGTATCCATTTCTGGAGCGATGTCTTTGCCATTTGAGGCACGCCTGATGTGCTTGGAGGCAGAGGCCCTGGACATGCTTGGTGCTTACAGCTTACAGCCAGTCTCATCTTTCTGTGGCCCCAGAGTGCTTGAGCAAACATGTTCAAGTGCTTAACACGGGAACCTAGCTTGCTCTGCATCGCTGTGTGCGTGTTTTTGTTGGGCCAGTCTCCGGTAACCTGCGATCTCAGGCAGGCAAAATGGCAGCAGCCAGTTGCAGCAGACGAGGAACACCGTCCGCTGCGGTCATTTGTCCACCAAAGCAATATGAAAGCAGGGCTATGCGGTGCTATGCGGTGCTCGTTGAAGAATTCTGCACGGTGGAGTAAATTTGATTGGTAGGCACATAGAATAGTTGACTCTTGCAGTACTCAGCGCCATCCCGCGATGCGGACAGTGAGGTCCGACTTGCACATTTCTGGAGACCTGGCAGCAGCGCAATCTTGAGCTTTGGCAATGGATGCTCCAGGCGTGCACAGTGCCTCCCGACGAAGAGGCAGGAGTGAAGTTTTGCAGAAACTCGCAGTTCAGGCGGAGTGACAATGATTGCATGGTTCGCCGGCAGAGGCTTCTCAGGCTTTGCCTTCCTTCCCATCGGACTCTTTGCACAAGACGTTGCAGGCCATCTCAGCCCTTCCCGTCAAGTCGAGAGGGGAACACGCGGGGCAGGAAGCCAGCTGAGCACAAGAAGAAGCGCCTTCAACCGAAGACAATAGCATCAAATACCATGACAAGCACAATAAGTGGAAAGATCTTGTCTAGTGACTGCTGTCGGCCGTGGCCGTGATTGGCCGTGCCTTCCTACTTTGTGTCTCGAGGCAGACTCCAGCCTCGGCTCAGCCCCGACATCTCCCACTGGGACATCCTCGGGGCCGGACCGTTCGGCACCTTTGGAGTCTCTGAAAGCGTGCTTCCAACCGACACAGTCTTGTGGGCATGAGAACCGTTCCTGATCTCAGTGCAACAGAGCACAGGCAGCACGAGAGAAAGCTTCTGCAGGACGCGCCATCGTCGCCGCCAGCTACGCGCCTGAATTCGCAAGGACCGCACAGAGCTGCGATGCATCTGATGGAGCTCGTTCTACATATTTCAGGATCGCTGGTGTCGAAACAGCATCATCGCCATGTAGCTCTTCAATCCGAAGTCTTGTGGAAAGACAAATGTAGTCGTGATTTCATGTCTTTGTCAAGGTCCAAGGAGTTTTTTCAGAGGTGCAAGAACATACGGGAGCCCACAGCTACAGCTAGGGACTGATTCTTGCAATGTATCCGTGCGTCATGAACTGGGCCCGTGCGCTTGTTTGCGCATCATTCTGGAAGGTCTCATCCCCGGAATGGTCAAGTGCTCAGATATCGGGCATACAAGGGTGATTCAGGACGACTTTGATATCTGCGATGTTAGGAAATGCAGAGTCGTACCATTGCAGAATTCCGCAGTTACGCCAGGCCTGGGAAGGGACCAAGATGCCTCCGTTGTTGCCGTCCAGTGGCTAGCGAGGCAGGACCTGGCGCGTCAGAGGAGACTGTGCGGATCTGTGCGGCTTGTTAGAATGTTAGAAGGCTCAACCCCAAGGTCCTGCTGGGTGACTTAGTAGCGCAGATTTGGGTTGTCGAGGCTGGCACTGGCTCGTATGTCGCCTTTGCAGGATGCACCTTCCGCCAAGATGGCCCGCGAGAGTGATCTGACAGAATCTTCCAGAACTGGAGCCGCAAAGCACGGCTGGGCACATCGAGGGCAGGGCATGTGGCCGCGAGACGAGAGAAGTGTCCAGGAAACCTGAAAGAGGTCGTTACATCCTGGCTCGAGGTTGCTCCTGCCAGTAGGATTTATTTCATGTTTTTCCACGGTCGCTGCCCCTTGGCGGAGATGAATCGCATCTAGCTGCAATGTGGTCAAGCTTTGCAGTAATGCAGCCGCAATTTGCGCTGCGACCATGGGCGGTGATTCCAAATTCCAAAGGCATGGCAAACGTGTTCAGCCAAACCATCCAAATCCCTGCACGGTTAGCAAGTTGTCCATGTCAAGGCTGTCGAGGTATGTCCGTCGATGAGGGACCGGTGGCTGGGTGGCTCTGGGCACCTTCGCCGCGCAACTGCTCAATGCAATGTTTTTTTCCCACGTCTCACCCCGGCGTGTTACATGCCTGAAGACTTCATCCGGCTCGGTATGTAGCCTAGGGTCATGGATCAGAAACTTCGTGAAGTTCTTCCCTTGGTCGAACTTAGTCGAGTGAGTTGAAGAAGCAGGTTTCGATGCCTAGTAGTGAGATGTAGCATGATGTAGCCAAGTGTCTCCCGAAGCAGCCAGCGACTGGCAGTGAATTTGCGCCAACGTGCAAGCGAAAAACGCCGGCACATCTGATTTTTCGCCCAACTTTAGCGGTCGGTCCACGGAGAACACTTTTGGGCATGCTTGCGCAGATTCCTTGATGCCCTTCCGACATGCCCGGTCCCATGCATTGGCCAGCTGCTGGATTTGATGTACAAGCACGAGTGCGATCCCCACAACACCGCTGGTGCCTCAAAAGTCTCAGCGAAGCACCTGCATCCGTGGTGCCGTGCAAACACGGCGTCATGTGTTGCCAAGGTCGGAATCTTTGTCCCAGCTGGACACGACGAGGTATGGGGCTCTTTTGTCTCTGGGCCCCCGGCGCCTTCGCCCCTTCTTTCGTCAGAGGAGGGCGTCAAGGAGCTTTGTGAGGAGATGCGCCGCTCTGAGACTGGACGTTGGACCTTCGTGTCCAAGTCTAGAAGTCTCTACATTCTAGACGGAGTCAGAGAGGCGGTGTCTGAGTCATCTTACTCGCGCTCCGATTCGGCTTTCGATTTGGGACCTTCCTACCAGTGTTAGCTCGGAGGATCTTGTGAGGCCACGTAGTTTGGTACTTTATGTCCAAAGAACGGCGGAGTCGGGAGTAAGGTGCGGCGAGGAGCCTGAGATGGTGATCATCGACGAGAAGGTACTACTGTGTGCTGATTGACATCTGGCACATGCATGTCTCAGTCTAGTGCTGCAAGCAACAGCCTGATACTGCTTGGGCAGGCCAAAATGGCACTTGCAGGCTTTGCGCACTGGCCTTAGTTGCGAGTCTTGGCCCTCGTCGGGGCAGATAATTTTTCCATGTGTGATGTGTGTTCTCTCGTCTTGGCTAAGTCACAGCACCGAGAAGGAGGCCTTGGACCATGAAGCAGTGCTCCTGCACTCGCCTCGAACATGCTCTGCGAATTCTGAGCGAGTTCTGCACAAAGTGGTCTCTTTCAAGCCAACCGTGCTGAAGCTCTCAGCAGCGCTCTGTCGAGGTGGGACGTGCCATCTTCAATTCACAGATTGCACATGTTCGGGTCAGGCCTGGTCGTGCTTGTAGCTTAAAACGTCGGTTGTCACATTGAAGCAACTCTGGAGAATCTTGCTGACTTCGCGGAAAATCGGAAAACAACTCAACTCTGTTGTCCAGATCCCAAGAAAATGTCATTACTGCTGCATCGGCGAAGAATCATGCGTGCAGGTCGCTACCGATTTTATGTGGAGCGACCGAAGTCAGAGGTGTCTCTGTCGGCAGTCATCAGACAGAAGTAGAGTGAACAGAAATTTTTCTGTCACAAGAAGGAGCCTCCGGTGGAGATTTTCAAGCCTGTGCATCCCTTTATGCTGCTTTGGCCTCAGATGTGCAGCAACAGCTCAAGGAACAGCCATTGACCGCCCCGAGAGACCCTGTCTCAACTCTCGGATTGTCGCTGCTGGCACAGCCTTTGTCTTGAAGCACTTCTCTGCCTGACACGGTATGCATCGTAACTTGGAGGTTGCAGTTTTCCTCATCTCCAGGCAGTGGGATGTCTTGACGAATCCGGGTGGTGGCTGCTGGGCATGCATTAGTCTAGTCTGCGTGCTCCGTGTTTGTATTAAGTTTCGTCTAGACTCTAGCTGCTCTAGCTGTGTTTGAGCCCTTTCATCATTCTGCTTCGACTGTAAATTTGAAGTCGTTGGAACGCTGCCACTTGCCCCTGTGTTGCTCGAATTTCCTAGTTTCTTCATGGTCGACACTGGCCAGATGCGTCATCCAATATTAAGTAGTTGGCATCTCACCAGAGTGGAAACAAGCGTGTTTTGCCGGCTTCTCCTCGGCCCAGGTAAGAAAAAACCGCCGACTGTCAAGGGCATGTGCGACTGGCGCAACCCAATGGGCTTCTCGAAAGCAGCATCTTTCCATTCCTGTCAGATGCCACCGGCCGTGGCTGCAGTTTGCGCACGATTGCACACGTGTTTAGTTAGCTCGGGTTGGCTGTGGCAAGATGGACAGAAAATTCTGCCAAGGCTTTGCTTGCCATGTGGACGACTCGAAACCCCCCGCTGAGTTCGTCGGATGTTGCCTGGCATGAGCCGTCCAAGAGCCAAAAGCAACAGTTGTTTGGTGGAGACATGTCGAGAGATCTTAGCAAATGGCAGATCGAGCTGCAGCCGATTCTTGTAGCTTCTCTCTGCTTCGCATGGCCTACAGAACATGCTTAGTGCTCACTGCAGCCCTAGGCTGTGCTTCGATTCAGGGCCCCGGCCTTGTACGGATTGACTGCTTGCCAGAGCAATGCTGCGGTGCCAAAGCACAGCATGGCGCATCGTGAATATCTGAAGCTCTCCAGCCAGTGCTCGCGTACATCATTCTTCACATCCAGTCTGATGCTGAGTCCGAAAGGTCTGGAGGGAGGAGCCCAGGCGAAGCTTGCGAGAGCCAGCCTGCTGCTTCCGGAATTGAGTGAAGCACCATGGGTTCGTGGCGGTCCAATCACAAGCGCCCATGCAGCCTTGCCGCACTGGCATTCGTAGGCCTTTGTCTCTGGGGCTTCTGTGCTGCCGATGAGATTCCTGCCATGGTCTCAGCTGGCCCACAACCAGCCAATGTTTCGGAGTGTGCTTGTGGCTTGAGGCCAGCGCTTCTGAGCACTCTCTGCCCAGAGCGCTGGTGTGTTGCCTGGGGCGTTGATGCCGGCTCTAGCGAGGCAAGGGCTTCATGCGCTGCGCGCAGGCATCCGGGCATGCGCAGGCCGTAGACGCCGTAGGCTTGCATGCAGGTGCGGGGCGTGCGCATTCTGCACCACGAGTTGGTCAACCTTCCGAAGAACACTCTTGCAAGCCCGGCAGGGCTTAGCTTACTCACGGACAGCAATCCGTGCCACGGACAGTTTGATGTTGTTGCTTCAGGCTCGTTGGTTGCTGTAGACCAAGATCGAATCATGCCGAACCTGCATCCACCTTTGGTGTTGTTGCTGACCAGTCAGGTCAGCAACAACAGAAACAGTAAGAACGCACGTGTGCGCCCAGTTTCGTCGCAGTCAGTTTGAAGATGAACTGTCAAACTGTCATAAGATGTTGAATATGTCACGCCTCTGTGAGCCAGGCACCACCGGTTCTGGAGGCAAAAGGGATGCAAAGCAGTCGTCCTTCTTCCACTGCGCAGAACTACAGCTTGTTTCAGACTTTGGGTACTCTGTAATGTGCATTTAGCTACTCATCTCGCTGCATTTAACCGTACTACGATTGGCAAGTGCATTGTGGCATCACTAGCATGGACCAGAAGACCAGACCCATTCAGAGCTTTCAGACCAATCATGACGTTGAGGCGGTGAACGCACTGCGTACGGGCCTTCGGGAGGCAAAGCTTGTGCTTGGTGGATTGAGTGGATTGCTTACTTTGCGTAGCTTGCCCGTCAGACCTTTGTCCTATCGAGTATGGAAGTTGAGAGTAAGCACCCCTGTGTCGGGACAGAAGTGCCGATACGAGTCGAGGGTACTCTGAGGCTCTCAGGTCCGAGGTGTACATGATCACAGTCTTAGTGCCGGTGTCAACAGAGAAGGTCTGAAACATGGGCCTAGGCTCACTGTTTGCACTGCTGGTGAGACCTGGTGAGACATAAACTGATTATGCTTGGCGTGTGCTGTCCGGATTGCTTGTAAGAGATGCAGGCATTGTACCCAGCTTCTTGGTGGGCTTGGGATGGTTGGGGCACCGACAGCAGCTTGGCATGCCCTCGTCTTGACAACAGCTGAACGTGTTGCGGTTGTCGGCATGGTTCCCTGTTACGCCACAGCCAGTTTTGGTTTTGGATGGTTTTGGTATAGAGCGTGAGACTCCATCAGAGGCAGAGGACGGCATCGAGGCCGAGACCCGTTGCGAAGGGCTTGAAAGACGCGGGGCAGTGTCATCTCCAGGGCCTTGTGCCTCGATTGGCCTTCTGTTGGTTGCGAGGGTGGTCGACTATCCGATTGAGCCCGCGCGCGCGGGCGGTGTTTGAAATCAGACACTCAGGCACTCAGACAAACCAGACACTCAGACGTTCAGACACTCAGACGCTCAGACAAGCAGACGCTCAGACGCTCAGACAC